AAATGTTCTAGGTTGTACAAATGTTCAATGCTCTAAATGTTATTGTTATATGTTAATGTTTTAATTACTAAATGTAAATGTTAAATGTTACGGTCGCGAGGACCAGAGCCAACTTCCGCGTAACCGGGTTGTTGCACGACTGTTACTACTGTTCAACTGCAACTTTAAATAAGAGTGCAGTGTGGCGTTATAGCTTACTAAGATGTTCGGCCGTATTACACCGAACATATTCCGGGCGCCGAAAAGATAAAGATAAAATATAAGAAAAGAAAAAACTTAAAGCTAATAATAACATGACATTTGGAATATAATACAAAAAATCTTGATTAAAATCGTTGTCTTGGTATAGGCGAGCATGATTTGTTTAACATTACTTGTTTATTTATTTTCGCGTACACATGTTCCTTTGACCCATAATTAATCGTTGGCCATTTTACGCGATCGCTATTGGTTTGCAACCGAACTTTCACTGACTATGGTAACACTAGGCTGTTCGTCAGCCTTGCTTTGCACTCGCGCACTGTTCTTCTTGTTGTGGCTCGAGGTAGGTGAGAGTTCGATATCCGGACTGATGCGAGCGGTGCGTACTCGCAATCGCTGCCAGCGACGGCACCACAAGGCGCCTGCGGCTAGAACGCCCGCGCCCACTAGGATGTAGCTCACGGAGTACAGGTGAATATCGTGAGGAGATAGGGCCGTTCCTAAATCTGCTTGGCTGTTCTTCATCTCTTCTATGCGTTTGTGAAGTTTGTTTAGCTCTTCTTCTAGCTCATTGGAGTCGGTCGCATTAGGAAGGTTGTCAAACTGCATGGAACTATTGAATAAGTAGTTCAACTGATCCAGGTTTGTGTACAAGAACATTGTTTTTCATGTTTAATTTGTCTTTTAATTTTCCTTGAGCGTAGAGAGTGAAATCTTTACCCCTTAATAAGCAACCAGGTCCCAGGTACATAATTCCTGCTTTAGATAGCTGTTCCAAATGGATTTGATCTTGGCTGTGATGAAGATTTGTGAGTATGTCTAGAATGGTGTCTTGGTTTCCTTTTAAATTTAATAATAATTTGGTTGCAGTAAGTGACATTAATGTGAATTCCAACCTCCAGGTCCTTGCCCAGCCGCTGTTAAGCAGCAGAACCCCCTCGCCATTTGAGGGCCGCGGTTAATCCTGCGAAGGTGAAAGACTTCTATATTTGCCTGGTTTGCCGAGGCTGAACCTTGAGCGCCAAAGCTATGTACTGCTACTGTCCGTGAAAACAATGGAACTTGTGCATCATTGACGGGTCCTGATGATTCTACGAAAGTCAGGTTGACGGCTGTTACTTTATGCTGAATTTTCTGTAAAATATTTAATCCTTTATCATTTTGTTCTCTTCGGAGTTCTACTATTTTAAATCTATCCTTCATCTCAGCTAATACTATATAAACTCGATCTTGTAATAAATTTGAAATTCGGTATCTGCCTTCAATGGAATCTTCATTTGGAAACTGGATACCAGATAATCTTGCGGATGATCCTGCACTTGGTGGGTCTATAGCTTCGAATCCCAATAAATTCCGATTCGGAACAAGTTGTCCAGGAATTAAACCATCTGGCAACGGTGAATAGCCTTCATCTCTATTAACGGAAGCTTCAACTCTTAATGATGTAACTAGCGGATTAACGTAACATTCATAAACGTTGTGAGTCTGGTCATTAATAACGCCGAATGAACCGCTCGGAATCGCCACACCTTCAACTTGGGTTGGTCCCTGTGGTATAGCGATTTCTGGTAAATTAACTCGAATCTCCTTTCCATCTTGTGTCATTGCTGAATTAATGTGTGAAATGTAATCATAAATAGGTTGAGGTATCACCTGGTAATCAGGTAGTGCTTCTCTTGCATCAGTTCGCAAATTTAAGACATTCTGGCCGGCTTGCCTTGCCATTTCTAAAATTTCTAAATTCAAATGTGTAGACATAGCATGTGTAAACATACTGAGTGGTAGACGTTCATGTAGACGGGGATCTATTCCACGCATCTTTTCATAAGTCTCATTGGTTAGTGGTATGAATCCGGAATATTCAAAATTTTGGCAATAAGCATCTTGAGCTGCCAAAAGTGAGGAATGCGGTCCAATATCATACAACGGTTCATTCGGCGTTATTAATGACCAAACTCACAACGTTTATGAATGTTACGTTAATCCGCTAGTTACATCATTAAGAGTTGAAGCTTCCGTCGCTCCCTGGATGCAGGTCAATCACTCTTCCCATCAACCATTTTCCTGCTGGAATGTTGTCTTCGTGCACTACATCTCCGATCTTCAAATTTCTTTGTGGTTTTAACCATTTGGCTCTCGAGGTTAACTGGGTTAGATATTCCAGCTTCCACTTCTTCCAGATTTGCTGGAAAATGTTATTAGTTAAGTGCCATCTTGTTCGAGCATCTGTTTTGGTTTCTATTGTCGTTAACCCAGCTCTTCCTGTCAAGAAATGGGCAGGTGATAAACATTCCAAATCTTCGATGTCTTCTGTTAGTGAGCATAAGGGTCTTGAATTAAGGCAGGCTTCCACTTCCTTAAGTTGAATCCTCCTGATTTCAATAGATGAGTTAATTGATTTATGAGGTGCTTTCCCTGGTTAATGTTGTAGGAGCCATGTAGAAGATCGTCCATATAGAAAGAGTTCTCCAAGACCGCTGCTGCTTCCAGATAGCTGGCACGCTCATCGGATGCTAGTTGTGTTAATGTCATTAGGGCTAGAAAAGGTGCAGCTTTGGTGCCATAGGTTACAGTAGATAGCTGGAAAGTTTGTATAGGTTCCTCCGGTGTTTGTCTCCATACTATTTTTTGGAGGTGCTGATCAGTGTTGTTGACGAGAATTTGGCGGTACATTTTTTCAATATCCGCTGTGAATGCATAAGGGTTATTGCCTCCATTGTAATAATAAGGTTTGTAAGTCCTTTTGTAAATTTGGCTCTGCAGTTGAGCTGTAGAAATGACATTTAACGCCCGTTGCCCGTCGTGTAGGTCCGTGGTATGGACGGTTAACATGCTGGGCGCGGACCGAGATCTAGAAAAACTACATTTTCTCTAAATCTAATTGGAATTTTGTAGAATTCCAATTGGATTTATCAAGAAGATAGATTTCTTTATGTAATGTCTAATACTACACCTAACAGTTCTAATAAAAATAATACGGGGTACGCAAATTTAACTTTCATTTTCCGATAAAAAAAAATTAAAACGCTNGACGGTTAACATGCTGGGCGCGGACCGAGATCTAGAAAAACTACATTTTCTCTAAATCTAATTGGAATTTTGTAGAATTCCAATTGGATTTATCAAGAAGATAGATTTCTTTATGTAATGTCTAATACTACACCTAACAGTTCTAATAAAAATAATACGGGGTACGCAAATTTAACTTTCATTTTCCGATAAAAAAAAATTAAAACGCTTGCTGGATGTAATATTCTATATTTATTAAAGCAACTAATGTATATGATACAATAAAAGGCAAATGGACACATGTTCAGTACATTTTTTTTAAACTACACGTGTTTATACAAAAACGACCCTCGTCAAATGTCACTCGAGTGGCTCTCTTAACTCATTTGTTTTTATTACATTCTTGGCGTCAGGGACAAATAATTTTTTGTTTACAATAACTTAAGCGTATCGCCAAGCTATTTTAAGCAACGACACTTTGTTTTATTTTACAGATCTTGAGTATGAACGTCTCAAATATGACACTCAAAATTAGTGCAAAAAACAGTGTCTCGTAAAAACTAAGATTTTGCAAAATATATGTTTGCAAGTAGTATAATAATTAATTATTCAAGATTTACATGAAACCGGGCATTCATTCCAAGGAAAAAAGCCACATGTATGGAAGAAAAAACAAAAAAAATAATCTTAAAAATAGTGAAAAAATAACAAGTGCGCTCACGGGCGCTAATTAAGTATAGATGTTAAACATTATGATTTGTGTTCGTTCTTTTTTTCGAATTTCTTGACTTATATATACGATCCCATATGGCAATGAATGCATCATACGGAGTCGCAAAAGAAACCTTTGGACCACTAATTTGGGAGAACGGTTCTCGCCTTAAGTCAGGTTCGATTGGAGGCGTTGGCGCCGTTCTCCATTCAAAAATAAATTTATTAGTTGGCCCTAGCGCCACAGAGGGCGAAAGAGCCGTCGGTGAGGTGGATGTGGATAGACGAAGAGGTTGCTCCATAATGTCATCGCTCGGGAGAGAAGGGATCCTCTCTTCTTCACCTCTTTCAACTTCCTCATCCTCTTCGTCTAACCACATCCTGGTCGAGTGCGGCACCGGCGGCCGCTGCATAGTCTCCTCGTCCTCCTCTTCCTCCGACTCTTCTTCGCTGCCTGAAAGGAAAAAGTTTCGATTGTAATAGGTATTTTACTTTCGCGATTATTGATAAAAAAGGTTACTGGTGGTAGGATCTCTTGTGCGGTCTCCCCCCGGTGAAGGTCAAGGGGCGACCTGAGGGGGTGAGGCCGCGCGGCGCGCTACCAGCACTCTAGCGCGCTGCCGTGGAGTGAATAGAGCGACCGGTCGACGGTGTATCGCGTCCCGACCCGGCAGGCTGGTTCTGGTCCAGCGGGGTATTCCGGGACACCAGCGGCACCGTCTGGGCGGCCTGACGGGCTGCCGTACCGNAAGGCCACCTATCTCAAAATTCAAGTTTTTCTTTGATTTCGAACTAAGCAATAAATATTGAATAAAAATTTAATATAAATTTAATGGCTCAAAAATTTTGTTTCTCAAATATTTTTTTCTTTATTTGTTTATAAAATAGGTTACATTATTGAATAATATAGTTACAGGGCAGGTGATGGCACCGGAGGCGTCTCCTGGTCCCTCCTGGCCGGGGACGAAGCGGATCCCCACATTTCTGATCTGAAAACAAAGCTAGAGATACTGTTTTGCTGTTAAAAAACCTAAATATATTGAAAAGTACCAGAATACACACCTTGGGATTTCCACTATCGGTGCGAGCACCCTTACCCTCTTCGGGTGCATCGGCGTCTCCATCGCTCGACCTGCCGGCAACGCCTCTATTGGCATAGTGACGAGTCTGAAATGCGTATTGGCATTAAAAAAATATATCAAATAAGCTTGTGTAAAAAGTTGTCAATGTATCTGGGCTCCAGTAACCACTTAACATCAGGTGGGCCGTGAGCTCGTTCACCAATCAATACAATAAAACAAACAAACAAAAAAAGTTGTTGTTAAATTTTATTATTAAATTCTGGTCCAAATAATTTATCCATCAGCCTTTGCATAATTGCCGAAGCTCCTACTAAACCAAAGCACATGACGTTNGGTTGTAGTGTTGACCGCGGTAGCCCCCCTACCTCATCCGGGTTCTGACCTCGGAGGGGATCGGACGTCGGGTGTAAGAGTGCAGAGGAGTCGTTTAGTGGGTGGGCTCTAAAATCCTTGGGCCCGCGGTCTGCTCACAACACCATGCAGATCGTTGAGTCTCACATACCCCGCGCGCCCCTTTTGCGCGGGGACCTCGCAGGAGGTTCGGCCCTCTACCCGAAAAACTTAGAATAATTACACATAGAAACCGAGTCCGCCTCCGTAAAGTGAGGCAACTCAAACATAGCCATATTGGCTAAGTTCATTATTCGGCCCGTCAGTGCTCAAGGACGTGTCGTATTGAAAAGTACTCCCGAAATTTTTATTAAAAATGACGATTTGTTCAATGAACGGATGTCATACTACATCGGAAAAAAACAAGAAAGATAGTAACATTACATTTCACGGGTAAGTAATGCGTTTGAACGTATATTTTTACGTAAAACATTCATCAAAATGAAAAATAAATTTCAATTATTTGTAATGCCATAGTTTATGAAAATGTTGCCAACACGGGGAAATGTTCTCACACATTTTGTTGTGTAATTAAAAGTGAAACACGTCTCAATTAGATAATTAAAAGCGCTTTTTTTTATTAAATTAAATTGATTAATAAGGAAACTGAGACAAAAACAAAACAAGCTCGCATACTTATAATAATAACATGTAATTTTATGTTTTGGTTTGGTTTTAGGTTTCCTTCCTATCATCAAAGCGACAATTGTTCAGAAAACAGTTGCAGCTGTTACAAGGGTACTGAAATAAATAATTATACTTGTTATTTGTTTTTCTTTCTCATAAGTGTTCTAACCTCGATCACTCTAAGATCCGTATCTATCTATAGACAAGTTATAACTTGGAACATGACTTTTCTCTACAATTCTGGCTCTTTATTTGTTTGAGTATATAATATTTTCTTAGGTCATTCCTTAAGCAAAAGTAACTACTTTGCTTGACTATGGATACAGACGTAAACTAGAACGCTTCTAAGTGAATTAGAATATTCGCGTGTTTTTTGTAAGTTACACTATTATTAAATAAAAAAACTGCCTTATAAAAAATGCCACCAAAAATTAATTAACAATAACTTTACACCAAATAACGTAAGTATTTTGAAGTAGGTCGTGTGGTGGCGGGTTTAAACAAAAAACAAAAAAATGTATACAGGTTTTATTTTCATCATGCAGGCAATATTCGTGTTTTCTGGTAAATAGGTGCGTTAGATTATTTAGGATGTAAACAAAACGGGTCACTACCGAGTAGTTTCGACGAATTGCACTTATATTTAACTCCTAATCGTTTAGGGGATCTATGGGCCTTGTCATCAGTTCAGCAGTAATAATTGATGAGTTCCAAATAAATAAAAGGTGTAATCTAACAATCACATTTGTTCTGTGATCACAAGTAATAGTTTCAAATTCCCTATTTTTAGAGAAAGTTAATATATTGGCAACATTATTTTTTTCACTGTGTGCGTTTCGTCGAGCGTAAATACAAGTACCTTACGCACACATAGATTATATTTTTGCCTCACTTTTGACAGACCGCTTTGAAGAGAACTATCGTTCTATGTGTAATTATTCTAAGCCGAAAAAAAAAAAAAAAAAAAAAAAAATGGTAGGATCTCTTGTGAGTCTGCGCGAGTGGGTACCACCACACCGCCTATTTCTGCCGTGAAGCAGTAATGCGTTTCGGTTTGAAGGGTGGGGCAGCCGTTGTAACTATACTTGAGACCTTAGAACTTATATCTCAAGGTGGGTGGCGCATTTACGTTGTGGATGTCTATGGGTTCCAGTAACCACTTAATACCAGGTGGGCTGTGAGCTCGTCCACCTATCTAAGCAATAAAAAAAAATAAAAAAAGGTTGATATCACTTACCGTAATTGAGCAATGCCAAAATCTCTTCGTCGCGAAGAGGTCGAGAGGACGAAGAGGACGAAGGGATTCTACAAAATAGAAAGAATATTTAAATCAATGCTAGTAATTATTTTTTATGGTTATTTTATATTCTATATTGGTAGTATACAGAGATGAACTTACAATTCACGTCGAGCTTTCTTCGATACGTGACCCAGACTTCTGAAAAATAAAACAGATATTTAATAACATATATCAAAAAAATTAACGCATAAAAATATGTTAATGTGATGTGTAAAAAATGTATAGGTACTTACGCAGGCCGCTCGGTGGCCGGCGTGCTAGCCCCGCTACTTGGCCCATATTCTACGTATCTACAAAAATTTTGATTTAAGAAATGAGTACAAAAAAAAATAAAAAAATCAAGTAAGGCACCTATCTCAAAATTCAAGTTTTTCTTTGATTTCGAACTAAGCAATAAATATTGAATAAAAATTTAATATAAATTTAATGGCTCAAAAATTTTGTTTCTCAAATATTTTTTTCTTTATTTGTTTATAAAATAGGTTACATTATTGAATAATATAGTTACAGGGCAGGTGATGGCACCGGAGGCGTCTCCTGGTCCCTCCTGGCCGNATGATTTTTGTTTATTTAGTGAGAATATTAGTCTAGTTATGTTGATTATTTTTATTGTAGATCTGACTGTTGTATTTGCGTATCTCTGACACGTAAAGTTTATCTAGAATTACGGCTCGCGCCGCCAGATTTTTACGCAAAATTAAAGGGGTGTAAATAAATTATTTTGTATGGACAGGTGTATGGTTCTATTTTTTATTATAATTTGTATAGTTTAAAAAAAATAATTTTAAATAAAAAAACCTATGTAATCGCTTAATTTTTTGAGATATTATTATTTATACACAAGTCGTGCTCAAAAACGCGTTATCTCTGTGTTCAGTGTATCATAATTCTACACCGTAGTTGAATACGTAGTTGAATACTAATAAACAAAATACTTCAACGCAAAGCATAGTTCATACTAAACATAACACTTGCTAGTGTTAAACAATAACAACTTGAGGTACAATGAAGGGTTTTGTGATAACGGAGCCGCGCGGCGTAGTTGTAATAAATAACGGGGCACTTTAGGGTGCGCTTCAAGAGCCCGTTCGGGCAAGGCAGTGGAATGGAGACCATGTGTGAACGAGCTGTAGCTCGCCAAATAGCAAAAAAAAAGTGTACAACACATGCAGCGTTTTTTTTAGTATTGTGCAACAATACGGATGGTAACAATGATAAATCATCAACTTTTTACGGTAACCACTTAACATCAGGTGGGCCGTGAGCTCGTCCACCCATCTATGCAATAAAACAAACAAAAAAAAGAAGTTGCAAATGTATCTGGGCTCCAGTAACCACTTAACATCAGGTGGGCCGTGAGCTCGTTCACCCATCTATGCAAATAAAAAAGTATAAATTAGTTCAAGAAGTCGGCTTATGCAAAGAATCCAATCACTGGTACAAAATTAAAAAAAATCAAATATCTAAAACAAAAAAAAAAGAAATTAATATTTTTTTTTTATATCAAATTCATTGAAATTTATATCAAATTGCTGCGCCGTATCTTTAAATTTGAACATCGGCTGTCAAACCCTACGTGCTCAGAATCCGTAATCTGGACGCTTAGGTGTGTTTCACATCTTTGAAGTCGAAATTTTTATATTTGCGACTAAAATACACGTCCTTTGTAATACTTATATTTAAGTTCATTAAAATATTGATCTCATTACAAAAAATCGTTTGGATTTTATTAATTTTTCTATTAAAAACGACGAACTAAAGACGACCGTTAGGTTCAAAAAATGACGAGGCCGCTGCTTCAAAGACTGTTTTTGTCATAAAATGCAAATAATATTTACTCCGTGTTAGTAAAATATAATGAAAGAACACTTACAATTCCATTATTAAGCAATAAACAAATTCACTGAACCGTTATTTTTATATAATTCGCAAATACGTGCGACCGAACCGAGCTCGAATTTCACACTGATTCACACAGCCCCCTTCAGTTGTTTTGTCGTAAATATTCAGTGAGAGAGAAGGTAAATTCATTGGTTACAGTTTAAATGTATTAGAAAGAGTAAACTATAATTTTATGATTATCTGTTAAAAGCCCGACAACTGGCCGACGCGCCGTACGTGACACCTGCGCTCAACACGAACGGCAAAATAATGGCGCGACCGCGGTTTGGACGTTTAACACGAGAGAGGCTAACCTAACCTAACCTAACCTAACCTAACCTAACCTAACCTAACCTAACCTAACCTAACCTAACCTAACCTAACCTAACCTAACCTAACCTAACCTAACCTAACCTAACCTAACCTAACCTAACCTAACCTAACCTAACCNGGTGCTTTTTCTAAGAGATCCGGGAATCCGTTTAATAATTGTTTCTCACTAACATTTCTTGATAATTGTAACTCTTTTACACGTTCTAAAAATGCTCTTATACACGTTGTGCCATCATATTTGATGTTAAAGGAATTTAAATTTGTTAGCCTTTCATTAAATTGAATGGGATGACTGGTACCATCCACATCATGAGGACACCCCGAATATGTGGCTTGGTAGGACTAGCACAACTCTGTAGCTCAGATTCGGAGTCAGTACCTCCACTTTCATCATCGCTAAGAGCCGCAAGCAGCCTAACCAACCTAGACTTTAACTTATTACACGCCCCGCTCACATCCTTCATTCTTTCAACCCTAGTTAAAAGGTATGTGGACCTAGCTTTAATGAGTGGTTTCTTTGTGATGAGGGTACCTCAGTCGCAAGTAGCGTCTCCAGCTCGGTGACCTTGGTAGTGACGGTCGACACATCATCCACAACCAGCTTCAGGCTGCCTCGTCGGTGAAGACCGAGCACCTGCCGCAGCTGCTGGCGAAGCGCGTCCCTGGTCGCATCGGGATCACTGAAGATGCCAAAGATTGACAGCTCAAACATCAATTCGTCTTTATTAAGATGTGCTGTCGGGATGTTCATTGCGACTATATAATGGATTTAATACTTACAATATAAAAAAATGTGTATATACAATTAGTACACTTTAAACTAAGTTAAAAGTAAAAAGAATTAAAATTACACACAAAATCATCCACGTTAACACAATTTACAACAATTATTAAAATGCACAAACAAGAAACACGAACGAGAAAATTTTTAAAACTACCTACACACTAAAAAATTTATTGGCGTTCCCAGGCGTAAATGGAAATTTTGTTCAGCCCATAAGTTGGGGGCCAATTCTTATAACGTGTCTGTGTCTAAGGGTGTCCCTGGTATGCCGATGTTACATGAGGCCCAGTCGCGTCACTCCCCAAAAGGTGGTCTATGGGTCGAGAGACACGGGGCCGAGTCGCACCACTTCTAGACACGTCACCACCGGTAGACAACCGGTGAACAGGAAACTCTCTGAAGAGGATCTCAGGGCGCCACCACTTACCGCTCTGGGAGACTTACGCCAATAAATGAAATTACACTTGAGTTTATTCACTACACAGGAATACAGATTCGATGGTTATAATTGTTCACACAGAATGAATTTAGTGGTAAGGTATCCTTGATTAAATGTGTGTCGGTAAGTATACCGAACACACGAGAAAGTATTTAATGTAAGTGAGATTAAATTAACAATATTATAAATAAAGATGGTATCACCAGTTTGGTTCACAAAATGACGATAAACGTTTACTGGATTGCTTCCCCGCAACTGGGGTTGCTGGATCCGAGCCAGGTTGTGTATGCAGGTGTGTTTCTTGTTCTACGGTAGTCAAGCACTTTCTTGGATCGCCAAGCCAGAGCACCTCGCTTCCGGCAGCATCCACGCAGAAAGGTACTGCGGGATCTCGAAGGTGACAATAAGTTCACACTCCGCACCCTAACTGATGTACAGGTACTGTACCAGTTATTAGGATCTACACGACAAGACAAAGTGGTGTTAACTTCTATTTAGATAAAGGTTGTGGACACAGTGTGGAGAATAAATTATGAAACACTTACCCTGGTTGAATAAAAATACACCAATGACTATGGTAAATACGTAATAAAACTTGCACTGCAGCTCGAGAGATGTTGATTGAAAAAGGCTTCGGACAAAGTGACTTGTCCTTTTATAAGAATAGTCTTACGGTTCTCGAATGTTCCACCTATAGTGCTGTGACAATCTCACCCTCGAGCCACAGACAAGATAGCACGGTCACGCCATGCAGTGTCGAATAAGTGCACTACGCAGTGCTTCATAATTATATATTTCCCCACACTGCGCCACGTATACGCTAGAGGTCGTTAATTTAAAAACAATAAAACAATTTAAATTTTTCTAGCGTTACACATTGAGCTCGAATTTCACACTGATTCACACAGCCCCCTTCAGTTATTTGGTCGTAAATAATGTGTGAGAGAAGGTCAATACATTGGGTACAGTTTTAAATGTGTTAGAAATAATAAACCATAATTTTATAACTTTTAAAAGTTCAAAATTGGGACTACGTGCGTCCGACATTTGGATACTCAACAGACGGGCAAAAATCGTGGTCCGTCCAAGATTAGGACGATCAACAGACGCGAGGGTGCTTGTTATTGGAAATAAAAGCCAAATTTTAGCAAAATCAATATTTATTTCTTCTAATGTTATTTATTAACAGTCTGTCTTTTTAATTGTTTCAATCAGTCTTACAAATAATATTGCTAGGTCTTATCTTGTTTGATACGCTGCAAAGCAGTTTTTTCTTCTCTTGAGGCAAATATGCAAATCATTATTCACACGCTAATATTTCATCTGCTTTTACACTTTTCGATTCTGCATGCGCGAGGATTATCAATGCTTTCAAAACTTGGGAGATGGTCGTAGCCGTCGTACTTTTTAGCTTGAGAGGGCTGATTTGTTCGGTTAAATCTTGTATTATTATTATGCACTACATTTTCGGCAGCCTTTTCATCACTCACTCCTACGGCAATTAGGCGTGGTGGTAAGCCCATAAGTTACTTGCATCCGAAACGAACAAGACCATTACTTTGCTATTTGGGATCGCAGCTGCTGCACATTCCAATTTATACAAACGCCATGCATTGCAAAGAGACAGATCAATAAAATGGAGTGAGACCCTTAATGTCCATTTCCAATCTCGCCCAGGTCAACTGCCGCACGCGCCCGGGCGATGACATCTCTGTATGTCATGCCCTTGGCTTCAGCGGCTGGCAGTAGAGTAAGAACCACTGCCGCCGAACGACCACCGGGCCACCACGTTCCACCCCTCGTCCATTTTTGACGGGGGCGGAGGCAGCGGACGGGATCGGGGTGCTATTAATGGAGGCTTCGCGTTAGCGCCACCCCCTCGCTTGGTTTTATCCCGTCCCGGGCCCGACTTGGTGGCCGGAGCTCGCACGGGAGCAGGACGAGCGGCCAAAGCACCCGACACCGCCGGCCGC